AAGATCAAGGTGCTAGCAGTGCCTCGTGAGGTCCGGCTTCTTCATAGATGACACCTCCTCATTGTGACTTCACATGGTACAAGGGGCCTTTTTATAAGGGCACTAATGCCATTCATGAATCCTTTACCCTCAAGACCTAATCTGTCTCCCCCAAAGCCTCCTTCTTCTTATACCATCACTACTTTAGTGATTAAGTTTCAACACATGAATTTGGGGGAGATACAAACATTTAAACCATAGCAGATATCAAATAGTTTGGAGGAGTTAAAGCAATAATCTTTGTAGGGGTTTGCAGATGGTTGGGTACTATGGTATAGTGGTTAGGAGTGCAAGCTCTGGAGTGAATCAGCCTGAGTTAAATCTCAGATCTGCCAGCTGTATAACCTTGGACAAGTTACTTACTCTCACTAGACCTTGGTTTCTCATTTGTGAAATCAGTACAATTTATAAATATACCTCCTAGTGTTGTTGTGGGAATTAAATAGGTTAAAACATGTAATGTGCTTAGAACAGTATCTGGCACAAAGTAAACATGTCTCTCTACCCACTTGAATGTTAACTCAAGGAGGGCAAGAAATTGTTGAATACCAGCACTTTGATAGTGAATGTCTCATAGTATTCTTGAATGAGTAAATGATTATCAACTTAATCATTTTTTTGTCATTGGTATCATCCTCCTCCACTGACACCCCTCCCTCCAGCAGAGATTGGTATCATCCTAAACTGCGAGAAAATTGAATAATCTCAGTTGTTTTTATTGTTGTCTTAATATAAGCCCATAGAGTAAAAGAGATAAAGGAACTAGGCAACTGGACTTTGAAAAAAAATGAAAGGATTTCAAATTGAAATCTCTTGCCTCTCCTATGAGCTATATTAAGGCAAAAACAATTTATCATTCATACCTACTATTCGTTGAGCACTTGCTGTATACCAGACACATGATAAGCCTTTTAAATACAAGACCTTATTCAGTCTGCAGAACAATAGCTCAATCCCATGATATAGGTACCATTGTTGTTTTTATTTTAAAGATGAAGAAACAGGGATTAGCAGGTGGTGTGGTGGTTAAAGGAGCTGGACTCCCACATGGCCACCATGGTTCGAGTCTGGGACCTGGTGGCTTGCTTTCTCACTTGCTCTCTCTGTCCCTCTCTGGTAAATTAAAAAAAATAATAATAAATAAAATTAAAATTTAAAAGACAAGAAGAAAAAGATGAAGAAATAGGCACAGAGCATTAAACTGACTTGTTCAAACCCAGATAGTTCATAAATTGAGCAAAAATTTGAACCCTTATCTGTTTGACCTGAACCTAGTTAGTTGGCACATAGTACATGCGCAATAAATATTTGTTAAATAAATGAATGACTGAATACATCAGTAAATCTATTATCTTCTGTAGATGAACCTACAGGGTTAACTTGAATGGTTTTCATGAGCTGGATAAGCTCAAGTCAAAGTTAAGAGTGAGGAAGCGGGAATGGCCCTGTGATGTCATAGTTAAGAAAGTCTGATCTCACATATCCTACTGTGACTTGAATGACAATGCTTGGGTGCAGGTGCATGTGTGCCCCAAATCCCGACAAGATGGGAAAATGGAGGAGAAGGGATTATAGTGTGACCATGTCCCATTGGGGGTGCTTTCTCTTCTCTCTCTCTCTATTTCTGTCTCTCTAGCAAGAGCAAATGCCTGCTAGCAATTAAAAAAAAAGAGTAAGAAAGAGGCCCAACCTGGTGGCACAGTTGGTAGCTAAACTAAACTGAAGTGCTGGGAGCCACATGGCCAGCTACATGCTCAAATTCCCCAACTTGCTTGAAAAAAACAACAGGTACATAGGCACATGATCGAGATTCTGATGAATTGGAGGGCAGGGGATTGGAGTGCAACAAACACTCATTGAGAGTACATCTCTCTCTCTCGCTCTCCTCTCTCTCACTCTCATGCAAACATACATGCTGTCTACCATTAATAAAAAGACTTAAAAAAAAAAGAATAAAGAAAAGGCTTGAGCAACCAAAGAGAAGAATTTACATAGGAAAATCTCTGGACTAGAAATTCTTATTGGGAAAAAGTATATGGATTTGCTTAGAAAGGTGTGCTTACACATAAGAGTGTGTGTGTGTATGTGCACACATACATACATACACATCAACAAAACAGTTTGGAACACTTTTGACACACAGGCAGACACAGGCATATGGAGACCCACAAAACCAAACTTTTTCAAAAATCTTCATGCCTTCTTCTGTCTTCTTAACACCCCTGAGCTGGTGTAAATAACAGAATGTCAGAGTTCAAAGAGACTTTAACAACTACCTAATCTGATGCCCCCATGCTAATGTAGAAATTGAGGCTCTAAAGGAGAAGTAAATTGCAAAGGTCACACAAGGAGTTAAAGTAAGATTAAGAATCTCAGTTTCCTGATTCATGTGTTTGTTTTACCCTGAACTCTCACCATTTACCATTCTCAATTTTATAGAGGGGTAACCAAAGCATCCTAAGAATGCTGATGACCAAGCTTCTGCTACATGTCCCTTGAAGTGGGACTTGAAATCAGATCTCCTTCGTTTTAAACATGAGGCTTTCTTTCATCCAGATGCATCTGCCTGGATGCCCAGAAGGAAGACCCCTTTCTACTAAATTATATAGTGGACAGAGAATAATTTACAGAAAGCTCTGTCCTTCGTGATAAGAGAGAATTTCCAAGGCTGCTTTTATTTTAAGAAGCTTAGCAGTCCCAAAGAGGCTCCCTGAAGGCAGGAATCCTTTCTGTCTTCCTTGTTGACTCCACAACACCTAGCACAAAGGGGCCAGCTACATGCTCAAATTCCCCAACTTGCTTGAAAAAAACAACAGGTACATAGGCACATGATCGAGATTCTGATGAATTGGAGGGCAGGGGATTGGAGTGCAACAAACACTCATTGAGAGTACATCTCTCTCTCTCGCTCTCCTCTCTCTCACTCTCATGCAAACATACATGCTGTCTACCATTAATAAAAAGACTTAAAAAAAAAAGAATAAAGAAAAGGCTTGAGCAACCAAAGAGAAGAATTTACATAGGAAAATCTCTGGACTAGAAATTCTTATTGGGAAAAAGTATATGGATTTGCTTAGAAAGGTGTGCTTACACATAAGAGTGTGTGTGTGTATGTGCACACATACATACATACACATCAACAAAACAGTTTGGAACACTTTTGACACACAGGCAGACACAGGCATATGGAGACCCACAAAACCAAACTTTTTCAAAAATCTTCATGCCTTCTTCTGTCTTCTTAACACCCCTGAGCTGGTGTAAATAACAGAATGTCAGAGTTCAAAGAGACTTTAACAACTACCTAATCTGATGCCCCCATGCTAATGTAGAAATTGAGGCTCTAAAGGAGAAGTAAATTGCAAAGGTCACACAAGGAGTTAAAGTAAGATTAAGAATCTCAGTTTCCTGATTCATGTGTTTGTTTTACCCTGAACTCTCACCATTTACCATTCTCAATTTTATAGAGGGGTAACCAAAGCATCCTAAGAATGCTGATGACCAAGCTTCTGCTACATGTCCCTTGAAGTGGGACTTGAAATCAGATCTCCTTCGTTTTAAACATGAGGCTTTCTTTCATCCAGATGCATCTGCCTGGATGCCCAGAAGGAAGACCCCTTTCTACTAAATTATATAGTGGACAGAGAATAATTTACAGAAAGCTCTGTCCTTCGTGATAAGAGAGAATTTCCAAGGCTGCTTTTATTTTAAGAAGCTTAGCAGTCCCAAAGAGGCTCCCTGAAGGCAGGAATCCTTTCTGTCTTCCTTGTTGACTCCACAACACCTAGCACAAAGGAAGGCATTCAAAAAATATTTGTTGTCAAATGTATGGTATACTAAAGGTAGAAAGGGAAAGTAGGTTGAGAATTAAGACTTTCCAGTGGATGATGGATGGACAATCTTTATTAGTGCTGAAAAAGTTAGACTGAATAAAGAAACGAGGTGGGAGAAGCCTTTAAACAAAGGAGAAACTGTCTCATTATCTGATTGAAACTGCAATCACTCAGCAAGGGCTGAGTGCCTTGGTAGGACTGCAACTGGCAGAGATATTTAAATGAGGCCTCCTTAAAATTGTTACTCTCCACCCCCCACCCCCATCCCGTTTAAATTCTGTTTCAATCATTACCCAGGGACCGGATACAGAGATTCCTATGGGGAGTTCTAATGGGTCGATTCAATTTCTACTGATGACGCCACTTAGCCAAGCATTAAGAGCTACAGCTCCGGGAAAGCAAACGACAGAGCGGGGGAGAAAAAGAAATTACGACAAGGAGCAATAAATCCATTGCTTACCATCCTCCCCTATAACCCATTCACAAGACCTCCAGAAATCATCTACATTCACAAAACAGCCAGCTAGCTGAGCTGAACACACTGCAACCTCCCCCCCTTCCCCCACCTCCTTCAGATTATATACCAACACACCCTGAGCTGTATAAATAATCACACACTAGCAGTATCTATTGCTCCGTTGAGATACCCTGTGTCTACAACAGCAGTTTCTGCTGCTTCGGTTCATCTGTCAGATTGGAGGAGAAGGAGGCGGAGGAGGAGGCGGAGGCAAAAGAGAAGGAGGGGGAGGAGGTAAAAGAGGAAGAAGGGGAGGAGAGAAGGGGGAGGGGAAGAGGAGGGTAAGGAAAATACTGAAGAAGGGGGGGGGACAGGAGGAGGAGAAGGAGGAGGAGAAAAAGACGGAGGAGGAGAGGGAGGAGAAAGAAGAGAAGGAGGAGGAGAAAGAGAAGGAGGTGAACAACTTACCCTGCTCAGCTTTCTTTGAGGAATACGTGCATCAAGATTTAGATCTGCATGTAAAATCTATACAAATCTGCCACTACAGGTCTGACTCCCCCCACACATAAGCTCCATTTTTTTTTTTTTTCTTTTCGTTTTCTCTGCTGTGTCGGAAAGACCAAGACAGAACTATCTCTGTTTCTGGCCCCACTGCCAGTGAAGGAGTTTTCATTCAGACTTTCCGAATACAGAGGTGGAGAAACCTGAAGACTCAGGAGAAGAGGTCTTTTGAGCCAGATGAAGTATTAGTTCTGCTTTTCTCAGCATGGATAAACCGTCTCTTCAAGGTAAGCCGTAGAGATTAGCTCTTAAAGACTCCAGAATTTTTTATGTGCAACATACAGATTGCCATTCATTTCAGCCATTCAATGCTGTGTGTGTATGTGTGTGTGCGCGCGCGTGTGTGTGTACACGCGCGCACGCGTGTGCGTGCACGCGTGCGCGGATAAAATAAAAACCCTTTAAATGAGATTTAAATGAATCAACTCTTGCAGAAAACTATCCGTGTTGGCAACTTGTAAATCAAAAGAGAATTTAAAAATAATCCTTTTGTTGTCAGATGTCAATTTGATTTCTAGCTTCTTGACCTTTAAATACATTTTGATACTTGCCTAAGCCCCTGCTTCCTAACCACCCAAGCTGAGGATGAAGGGAGAGACTGTGCTCAGGCCAGTCTGGCTGCCCAGCGGGCATCCTGTCAGCATGAGGCTAGTCTGCTATTGGCTCACAAGTCTGGGCTGTGCATCCTTCAGATTTCATCACATCACCTTGCCTTGGGTAGTAATGGCGCAAGCTGACAAGGCATAACACCCCCCCACACACACCCCACTTCTTTAACATTGAGTCAGAGCAAAGATTTAGAAATCTCTGAATCCACACCTCAGAATCTGTGCACATATCTGTATGGCATATGGAAATGTCAAAAGTGAGAACCTGTGAGCACGTCTAGTTAACCAAGCCATTTGATAGGATCTTGGGCAATGGTTTACTGCACACTCTCTTCCATGCATCTCCTTACAATTATCATTCACCTCTGCATGCTGCAAACGAAGTTAGATGAACGGAAAACAAATGTTGAACTCTTAAACAGAAAATCTATTTTGAAATACAAGCTATTGTTGCTTTTCTGGAAAAAAAAAAATCTCTCACTGTAAAATGATGTGCTATCACATGAATTCAGATATACCCGGTATTAAATCATGTTCCCAAGTCAGCTGAATACAGAAACACAAATAAGGCACAGACTAGCAGCTATCCACAATGAAGTATTAATCTTGTTCTCTGTGCTTCTAAAAAAAGCATATGGTACAACTTTTTGTAATCTATATATTTTGTTTGCATTTTTTGTGTTCTCTTCCTAGGTCTCTCTAGCTGTAATTACTACTAGTAATCTTAGTGACTTGTATTTGGAGATATTTATTCAGTGTTGAGGAGTTAAAGAAAAGATCCTAAAGAAAAGGAGACAAATTCCTCATCCGAATACTTTCGAAACAGAGAAATTCAATTTAAAAACCCAGCATAAAATTTAGAGCATCAGGATGAAAAACAGTTTTACAAACCTTCCGTTCAGACCCTCTCACTTTGTAGATGAAGAAACTGAGGCCCCAAACAGAACTCACTTTCCCATAGTTAAAGTAGAGTTAACATTAGGTTTCTTGTGTCTTATAAAGAGATTTGGAGTTTAAAGAACTATTAGTACTTCTTAAATGAACAGTTAGGTTCTTAGTATTTTCCTTAGGATTGGAAATATGTAGATTTATTTGGTATTGCAACTTTCCACTATATTTGCTCATAACTGAAACACCAATATCTTTAATAATACAAGGTCTTAAAACTGCAAGACTCCCTTATTTGAAATAAACTGCTGTGAGTCTTAATGAAACTATTAAAGTAATGAATAGGGTAGCAAAGTGACACGCTAAGAGTTAAATGTGGTGAGAACCTGGCAGCTCCAGTAAGATGTATGCGGTAGGAGGGAGGCCCCTTCAGTGGCAGAGAGGTTAGTAATGTAAACTATATACAACTTGGTATTTGTAAGGAGGGAGTGCTTTGATAGAGATGCAAATGATTTTGCACAGAGAAGGATTTTTAGAGAGAAGACTTTGGAAAAGTAGAACTAAGAAAACATGTAAAGCCATAGCAGAAATCCCCCCCATGTTTGCTTTCAGTTATTCTGAGAACAAGAGTATGCAATAGCAGAGGCACAGAAAAAAAGCAATGCATCCCAGAGCCTTTATTTAGTAAGGGACAAAACAGCATTGACCCCATGGGAGTGGAAGAAAACAGGAGCGAAGCTCTCTTTTCATCTCTTCCTTCCTCTTCTCTGAAATCAACATTGAGTCATATTGTATCAGAAAGGATTCATCATGGAAATCAGAACTGTCTTAAGCTGTTAGCACAGAAGGGCTCTAGATAGGAAAGTTTTCCATTTTAGTCTCAACACGGCAGATTTTATGTTCCAGGGAGAAAATACATCTTTCATTAACAAACATTAGCATTTCTTGAATGGATTTAGCTTTCCAGTCCCTAAATTGGCATAAGAAAGGACATTTCTGTTTGGGCTGAACATAGCAAATTTCAGGGCTACAGAAAAACTGTTTAGAAAGCTATGAGCACCTGGCCAAAGAGACTTAAGATGGGAGTGGGTTTACAATGCATCATTCATTACTGCAGAGGCACTACGTGACAGAAATCACTAGATCCCATCAATGTGCAGCCAAGACTTACAATCACCTTGGATCCTATTTAATAATATGTGATATGTACATCCCCTCTCTCTATCTCCCTTACTTAAATAGAATATATATTTGGCCAACAGTACAGACAGTTTTTTAACTGTTGCTATTCACAATGAATGGCTCTTTAATGGATTTCTGAATCATAAACATGCATGCAGTGGAAGTTTTTCATCTAGTCTCTGTACTGCAGCAGTCTCTAGCCTATTCGTTTCTCAAAGTCTTTTTATTTTTTCTTTCTTCCTCTAACCTTCCTCTGTAGTATCTATTTCAGTTCATCCTGTTTAGCCAGATTGTATTCAACACTCAGGCAAACAATTTATTGTTATTCAATCCTTTTCTTAATCTTACTCCACACCCTGGTTCTGCCTAGTCCTACTACTCATCATAATGCAGATTTTTCAAACCAAATCCCAGAATCCATTCTAATAAAAGATTTTACAGAGCAAGAAGAAACCTTCTCAATTCATACTGTCAATCTTCTTAGCTGTAAGTAAGACAGTACCTCATCATCACAGACTGATGCCAAAAACTGGTTTTCTTTAATCATCCAACCAAGTAGCTCAACTGCTCAGTCTTGCAGCAGTCTAATCAATATTCAAATATACCTTCTCAATCTAAACAGCACGTACCCTTCTCATCTCCAAATAGGATCCGCCTTGAACATGATCCTCATTATTGGTTCTGAGTTACTTGTACTATGCCCTAGATTCCACCATTTTGAATCTAATTTTTTTTTTTTTTTGGAAATCAGTGAATCTAAATTGTATGCAGCATGTATGTTACTGTTATTACAGTGTAAAAGACTTGGGTTGGGTTCCACACATTCTTTAGCTGATCAATGAAACATAAATCCATTTCTTTTAAGTTTGAAAAAAAAAAAACCCAGCAGACCTCAATTCAAAGCTCCTATATCTACATACCCTGCAAACAAGCTGAACAATGTGTCATTTTTACTTGGGTGTACCTGTTCCTTTCCAATATTGAGACAATGGATCTATAAAGATGCAGCAAAAGTAGAGGTGGGAAGTTGCAGAGGGCTTTGAGCACAAGTAAATGAAGAAGATGCCAATTTTGATTTTTAAAATGATTTATTGTAATTTCTGATTTACATCTAAATATTGTATATATTTGTGGAGTACAGTGTGGTCCCAAATAAACAAGGGCACATTGCCCAACATACTCTCAAGGATTTAAAGATGTTGAAGGTGTGGATGAAAAGAATTCTTTTGTCAAATTTAGCTTTAGAAATACAGACCATAATGGGGCAAGGTCCTCCAAGATCATCTAGTCTATCCTTATAGTTATAGAGATAGTGAAACTGAGAGATAGTGAAACTGAGACCCAAAGAAACATGAGATTTGACAAAATAATGTAGATATTTGTCTTAGACTCTCCACAGTGTTTATCTGCATTCTCTTGTGTTGCATTTATTTAACACCAAAATAAGTAGCTAAAAGGTGAAATTTTTATTAGGTTGGTTCTTTTATATGATATGTCAAAAAACTAAGTTTAACCAAGTTAAATCTTAAAAAAATGAACATATGTAAATTCAGTTAATCAGTTTTGCATGGGTATATAACCTCAAAAATCAATGGAGTCTGGCCATGTTATTAGCCACCAAATCCTTTATGAACTGGATCCTTATTTTTCTAACAATTGCACTGTGGGCACATTTTAATATCATGTTTGCTTGCTTACAAAAACCTAATCAAGCACTATCCCCTCTCATTTATTCATTTTTATTACTCATTTAAGCTAATTGTCTCATATAGTGGCGTGAGTAATTGATTTATTTTGAAGAGGCCTAAAATCTGATGGATTTCAAATATATACTGTATTCATGCTGGTGTTCCCTAGGCTGTAATGCCTCCAGAATCTCTCTTGGATTTGTGTTTAGGTTTTCAGGTGTATGCTGCTCTTCTAGGTGTTGTGATACAGCAGTCTACTGTTTGTACAATATTTTTCCCATAGTCACCACTCTCAGTTCTAGGCGTCATCAAATTCTTCAGGGAATGACCACCCTACTTTTTCTGATTATGGGACAATGGATTTGCAAGCATATACTTTCTAAATATTAAACTTAGCTTAAATATGGTATGAGGATGTCAGTACTGTTTTAAAAAAATCCAGTTTATGATGTGACATAAAGATAGAGAACAGCAGTCCAAGCAAGTTCTACTTGGGAAATCTCATCAATATAGAGTCAAAAAAAATTAGAGAGTCAAGTCAGGGTGATAATAGATATAAGTACAGGTGATAGTTGAGTTAATTCAGGGTTTATCTTCTCTAATTCTCCCATTCCCATTGTTACACCTATGTATGCAGAGTTTTGATTCTGGGACCACCGGGACATTTAAAAGAATCACCTCTTCAGTAAGTTAAAGCATCCCGTAAGCTGAAGAAAACTGTGAGGTTAGTCTTGGCTACTTTATACTCTTGGGAAGACTTTTTTTTCCCTGTCACTCTACAGACAGCCCAATTCCTGCCCTCTGTCTCTATCTCTACCATTATTGCATCTTGCTTGCTTACCTAAGTTCATTGAGTTAACCAGTGTTCTTTTTCATCTTTATTTATGCTTATAATCAATTGCATTGAAAAGAGACTTTTGACTGGCAGTGTGTGTGTGTGTGTGTGTGTGTGTGTGTGTGTGTGTAGCTTCTTATCGGGAGACTTTTGAGGTTTCCTCTTTTGTTTCAACATTGCTTGAAAAAATGGCCTTTTCATTTAACATTAGGTTACATTTTTTATTAGAAGTCTGATGCTCAAGGCTTAGATTTATTTCTCTGCTAGCAAACACCTGAATGAGCTAGCTGCTCCTGTGAAACTAGTCATATGATGTAACACAAAAGGAATAAACAGTCTCATGTTTGCTTTGAAACTGCTTCATATCCTGGATAGGATGATCGGACTTGCTTATAAAGAAGTAGGTGAGATCAATTACAAAATAAAGGTGTAGTAAGAAGGCCATGATTGAAAGTAGTGGTGACGATAGGGCCTGAGCTTTGTTGGTTCCCTGCAACATACTTATGCCTGTGTGCTCTCATTTATTATTTCTTTTCCTTCTCTCCTAGGATTTTCTGATGTACCCTGAGGTCCATGTAACTACAAGGGCTCCTCTTTTTCACCATAAGTGCCACTCTGATCCAAAACCACTCAAATCTCAAGGCAAAATGGATGCTGCAGTGACAGATGATTTCCAACAAATTCTGCCTATTGAACAGCTGCGCTCTACTCATGCTAGCAATGATTATGTGGAACGACCTCCAGCTCCCTGTAAACAAGCCCTGTCCAGTCCTTCCCTTATTGTGCAAACCCACAAATCTGATTGGTCCCTGGCTACCATGCCTACTGCTCTCCCCCGCAGTCTCAGCCAGTGCCATCAATTGCAGCCCTTGCCTCAGCATCTGAGCCAATCTAGCATTGCCAGCTCAATATCCCATAGCACCACTGCCTCTGATCAAAGGCTGTTAGCCAGCATTACACCCTCACCTTCAGGCCAGTCCATTATCCGAACCCAACCTGGAGCAGGGGCCCACCCAAAGGCTGATGGTGCTCTGAAGGGAGAAGCTGAGCAATCTGCAGGGCACCCCAGTGAGCACCTCTTCATTTGTGAGGAGTGTGGGCGCTGCAAATGTGTTCCCTGCACAGCAGCTCGCCCTCTCCCCTCCTGCTGGCTGTGCAACCAGCGTTGCCTTTGCTCTGCTGAGAGCCTCCTTGATTATGGCACTTGTCTCTGCTGTGTCAAGGGCCTTTTCTACCACTGCTCCACTGATGATGAAGACAACTGCGCTGATGAGCCCTGTTCCTGTGGGCCTAGCTCTTGCTTCGTCCGCTGGGCAGCCATGAGCCTCATCTCCCTCTTCCTACCCTGCCTGTGCTGCTACCTGCCTACCCGTGGATGCCTCCATCTGTGCCAGCAAGGCTATGATAGCCTCCGGCGACCAGGCTGCCGTTGTAAGAGGCACACCAACACTGTGTGCAGAAAAATTTCTTCTGGCAGTGCGCCCTTTCCCAAGGCCCAGGAAAAGTCTGTATGACCTTCCCACAAGATGAATTCAGAGCTTTCTCCTTCTAAGTCTCATCGGTAAAGCATAAGCCTCATCTTTGGAGAGGGGAAGTAATAAACTAGCCAAAGTTAGACCTCACCTCTTTTGTTCCTACAGCGTCAGGGAAATGGCCAAGTACATCCTGATGCAGGATGCCTTGTTCTTTCTCATAGTATCTATCCTACTCTTCAACCTTTTTACATCCCGCCAGCTCAGCCCTTATGGCTTTTGTGGCAAATTCAGGTGATATATGGGCATGAGGTTTGAATAGTGAGGACTGACAGAGCCAGCAACATGGAGGTTTAGGGGCTCCCCAATGTAATTGCCTCTTGATGCAGGCTCTGATCATTGCTCTGCTTTCCACAGTGCCTTTGGAAGTTTTCCTCTAAGATGGTTTTCACAGGTACATGTGGAACAACGTTCAACCTTCAAGGGAATCTAATCCTCCTGTCCCTATTTACTGCCCATCTCTTCTTTATTCCTTTCTCTCTTTCTCTCTGTCTATCTCTCTCCTCTCCTTTCATCACCTTGTTCTGTGTTCCTTGCTGCTCCATTCTTATCTTCTCTACTTTTACTTTTCCTGTTTTTTACTTTCTCTCTTCCTTTTCTTCTCCCCTTCTCTCTCAGACTAACCTTTTTTCTGCCTATATTTATATCTCATTTGATGTATGTGTGTCTCTCTCTACTTGTCTCTTTCTCTAATATGTGCAAAAGTGCTGTTTTTCCATAGGTGTTTCCTTAGACGCCAAACTTTGCTTTGCTATACTATTTGCTAATTTTTATTAAGGGAAGTAGATTACTATAATGAACTGATCACTAGCAATAGTCTGTACTTTGATGTGTGTGTGCACTTACAACCACACCTATTTGTGAGCATACAAGGCAAAGTTATCTTACTTTTCCAAATTTCATTAGTTGGAGTTTTTCTTTTTTTGCCAATAATCAACTTATAATACTGACAGGTTCTACTGGCATGCTGAGTAGGATGCTCATAACTTTGTATGTCTGACTCAAGTGCCAAAGGCAGACGTGCTTTATAGCTAAATGAACAAATCAAAGGATTTTACAGAGATATGTTCTCTCTTAGAAGCTAACTGCCCTGAGAGTGCATGACTCAGGCCTTAATGGACATAAAAAGTCATAAAACTTTAGAACTGGAAGAAATCTTAATCTCATTCAATGCCCTTATTTTACAGATGGGAAAGAGGCCTGGACATAGGAAGGGACTTGCCCAAGGCCACACACTGAGTTAATAGCGGAGTTGGGAGTTGAATATAGGCCTTCTGACTCCTAGTTCAATATGCTGTCCCCTCACCACATTGAGTCATGAGAGGTTTTCCTAGGACTCTATTAACAATGACAGAAAGCCATTCCCATCTATAACTTTTCAGGAACCATGCCAAGTTAGTGTAGTCTTTCTGCAGTGCATGGTGGGTAGCTAATTAGCTATCAGGTGTTGAGGCTGTCCCCAGTGGACATCACCTTTGGCTTGTCGCCTTGTAGAAGCTCAAGTGCGGAAAAGAAAAATTTAAAGAAGCCCTAGCCAAGCTGTATCTTCGCCATTGCATCCACTCTTTGCTGCACACATTGTGCTCACTCCTGGCTTTGTCTGCAATGGCAGCCGCTTGAGAACTTAAATTTCACCACAGTGAAAAACTGAGATGAAAGATGTGTAACACAGAGAACTGACTTCTCTCTTTAAAAATACAGAGAGCCTGTGCTGTGAACCCCTTTCAATTGGAAAAGGCTGCAGTGGTGATGGCAGGCTCCTAAAGACTGCTGCTAAAAGACACAAGAATCATAGTTTCCCTCTGTAAGTGAATCTGAAATTCACTAAGGAATTTAGAGATTGAGGGCACTTGCTTGAAATCAAGGTGCTCCAACTTAGTTTAAGAATTCCAGACTCTATATATCATATCTTTTAAAGTGTGCATGGATGTGTGTTGCAGGGTGGAGAGGTGGGAAGAACTGTATAGTTGTACACAGGGGGAAGGAGATAGCCATGTTCCCTTGCTGGATACATAATACAGAAATATGTGCCACTCAGTCTCTGTTGATTCTGCTGAAGTGTACTGACATTTGGGCTGCATACAGCCTCACACCTTCACTTACACCTCTTCTTCTAGAATTGCTTTGTTCTATTTTTGTATATATAAATATGTTATGAAGATTATTAATAATGCTAATGATATTGCTGCAAATGGTGCCATATATAAGGTTTGGCTTCTTGGAACATTTATAAACCCAAACCAGTATCTATGACCTCTTATGTTGCTTTCAAATCCTTTAATTTTAAGTAACTTTTTTTTTAATTGTACAAGTCTGTCTGATTGTACTTTAACTTATCTACCCCTAAAAGCTGTGCCCAGTTCTTTGGGTCATGCTGGATGGTGATGAGTAGCAACACACACTTCTCCTTGCTTCTGCCTGAAATTTGCTTAGAGCTCAGTTATCTAAGGATTCTTTGACACTAGTGCATTGTTCCTGGAGCTAAAGTTATTCTATGGACATTTGTTTATTAGTTTCAGGGCCCCCAAATAACACAAATCCCCCCTCCTTGATAGTTCCTTTATATCCCATTTCTGCAGTCCTTACTCAGGCAAATTGTGCACTGCCAGAGGGGCCCTGGGCTCTGCCATACACCCAGAGGAGCTCTTCTCAGTGTATTTCTAAATGGCCTTACACATGGTAGAAAAACTGAAGGGTTACTCAAATGCAGTTGTAATCTGCTGCTGAGTCAGGGTTTTCACTTGTGTTCAAGTTGGCCTGATATGGACTGCATCTGGTTTACGTATAGATGGGTCCTATTGGGGTATGCGCATGGATGTGTGAGTGTTGCAGAGAGGCTCTGTTTTTATTATTTTTCTTCTTTGTGTCAAGTACTGTATAAACAAATATTTAGAGGATGTTTCTTCCTTAGCATTTTTTAATAGTTAAGTCATCTCTTATCCCCTAATTCCACTATTTTCCACATATTGGTCCCTTGATACATTTCATATGTCATTAGTTAAGAGTCTTCCTTTGGTTACAGCTCATATTCCTTCATCACAATAGCTATAATAAATATACTAAACACTCACACAGTGCTTAATATGTGCTAGAAACTATTTTTAGCATATTACCTGAATTAGCTCATTCAATCCTCACATACCCTGCCTATGATGTAGGTACTATTCCAATCTCTATTTTACCAAGACAAGAAAACTGAAGCACAGAGAGGTTAAGTGACTTGTTAAAGGTAACAATTGTAGGGACTGGCAAATGGCATAATGGTTACGTCACTGGGCTCCCACATGGCTGACTGCAGTTCAAGTCCCAGACCCAGCAGCTTGAAACTCACACCAGGTATGTGTGTATGTGTGTGTGTGTGTGTGTGTGTGTGTGTGTGTGTGCCCAAAATCCTGAGCGGAGAATAGAGAAGAAGGGATTGTGGCATGGAAGTCCCCCTGGGGGGGGGTGATTTCTCACTTTCTTTCTCTCTGTCTCTCCCTCTCCCTGGCAAACACATGCACCCTATAGCAAAAAATCTCTTAAAGATAACAATTGTAAATTGTAGAGCTGTTTGAATCTAGGCTGTCTGACTCCCAAATCAGTGCTCCAGAGTCAGCTGTAGAAGTATGTTGTATAGCAAACCATTCTTGAGTAGCAAACCTCAAATGGTGAAAAATCCTTTCCTTAACTCCAGACTCTCAGCGTAGGAGTTCAATTATGCTCCTTTGTTAAGGACTGAATCAATACTTACAGACATCGTGGATGTCTTGCTTCCCAAGATGGTGGCACTACACACTTCACTACTCTCTTTGAAAATATGCTTGCAGCATTTCTGCACCATTTCTCAGAGAGCTAATGGTGTAAAGCTAGTAGAAGAGTATTATCACTTGTGCCAGAGAAGGTAAGAGTTTATTTGGTCAGGAAAACTAATTCCATTTTATTTTTCTGTACAAAGTATTTTACAAATACAATTCATGTTGGGAGCTTGAGATTTGTTGGAGCTGTTAACATTCAAACTCATTGATTATATTTAGTGCATATTTCTGATTGAAATGTAAGCATTCACTGATAATCACTAGTCTGTACAATGCTTTGCCTTTTACAGTGTGTGCCTTCACATTGACAATCCTTTACCTTGACATTATTTCAGAGCCAGAAGGATCCTGAAGAATATCTGGTCCAATATCATAATTTTGTAGATGGTGAAAAAGAGGCACATGGAAGGAAAATAACCTGTCTAAAGTCATACAGTTCAGAGTTTGAGGGCAATTATGACTTTATTCTAGAACTCCTAATTTCTGGGTATCTTAGTTTAGGCTTCTTAGAAAACAGAACTTGAAGCAAAAGTTTATGTACAAGCCATAGAAGCCAATGTAAGGAGAGATGTATTGAGGTAGGAAAGGAAGATAAGAAAATAAAAAGAAAAACATTACTGAATTGACCATAGTCTGTTTTGTAGAAAGCTAATTTCCCAGTCTCTTATGATAGGCCATATGAAAGTAATGTATCTCTATATAGCCCATTTGGGAGAGGAATGAAAGTATTTATTTGTTAGCTCTCATCTCAAATACTTTCCCTGTATAATATTAACCCCTCTGCACTTCTGGGAAGTGCACATGTGGGCACACAAACATACCTGAACATCTCATGACTCTGCAGCAATGGGGAACCATTGTGACTCCACCACAGACAGCAAGGCGAGTGTGGATATAGGGAGTTGTATACACTTGAAGTGCTATATCTTTAATCACATTCATTCAAAATGAGAAGTAACCATCTTTAAAATTCATAAGGCTTTTATTATGGGACTCATAAATTTACTAAATTTACCTTCCAGAACCTATGTATTCTCTAACTTGCTTTATCTACATGGAAATTAAGTTCCTAGTTCTATTAAAGGAGTAACAAAGTCTCAAGATATCCTCCTTCTCAGTAAAAAAAGAAACTTTATCTTACCAAACTCTTCGAAAAGTGTATCTAAATCAATGCATGTATGTGAGTGCATATATATTCATTTAGGCTCCATCAGCATAGAAGCATGAAGATTGGTCAAGTTAATAAATTCAGAAAAAATTAGGTAAACATATTATGCAACATGGAAATAGATCAATCTTCTGGTTGACTGACTTAAAAATATTTCACACACTAATTATGATACCACATAACAAATACATTCTAAGAACTATACAATCTTTTATTCTCATACACAATAGCTAGCTGTGACCTATAGGCCATTCTTACATGAAGTCATAGCATTTAGTTGATAAAAATGTTTAATATGTTTTCATATTTATAGAGGTCATAAGTGTTGAATGCATTGCACCAATTTAATTCTTGATTTTTCATATATGATGAGTATAAGAATTCTAGAATTTTTTTCTAGGTGAATAACAAACTCAGGCTATTTCCCAAAACAATCTAGCAAAACTCTTCTCCAGTGATCTCCACTTTAATAAGTGCAGTGGTTACTTCTCAGTCCTCATTATGCTGGACTCATTGGGAACTTATTTTTGTTTTTGCCATAGGGCACATGCACTCGCTGGAGAGAAACAGAGACATGGAAAGTGAGAGCTCACCCCCCAGGGGTATGGCCACACTGCCATCTCTTTAGCTTCCATT